TTTTGGCATAGTCAACAAAGTACAACAGGGATAGAGTTGAGGTTTAGTATAGCATTTCATCCACAAACTAACGGGCAAACTGAAAGGACTATTCAAACCTTAGAAGACATGCTTCGTATATGTGTTTTGGATTTTCAAGGCAGTTAGGAAACATATTGTCCATTGGCTGAGTTTGCTTATAACAATAGTTTCCACACTAGTATCGGTATGGCACCATATAAAGCACTGTATGGCAGAAAGTGTAGATCACCAATTTGTTGGACAAAGGTTGTTGATAGGGCTATCTATGGAACAAAACTTGTGCAAGAAACAACCGAGAAGATTAAAATCATTCAGCAAAGGCTCAAAACTGCACAGAGCTAACAGAAAAGCTATGCGGATCAACGAAGAAAGGACTTAGAATATGGAGTGGGGGATCGCGTATTTATTAAAGTAACACCGATGACACCGATGAAAGGGCAGACAAGTTTTGGCAGAAAGAAAACCGATTCCTCACTACATCGGGCCGTTTTAGATTCTGGAGAGATTGTGTCCTATTGCCTACCGTATTGCTTTACCACTGAGAATGGAACAAATACACAATGTATTTCACATATCCATGCTTTGTGGGTACCTTAGTGTCACGACCCAAACCCGGCCCTATGGGTTTAGCACCGTAACTGGCCAGTAATCCAAGATTACCAAAGGCCTGCTTAACAGTAATACAGTAAAACAGAGTACAGGGGCATGGCGGAAGCCAAAACAGTAAATAAACAATGTCCTATAAGCTGTGACAGTCTGTATGCAAAAAGACTTTTCATTCAAATATATATAGTCGGACAAAACAGTATGTACATATATACAATCATTCAGTTCAGGGACCTAATCCCTATTAAACAGTACAGTACAGTAAACAAAACAGTTACAGAGACAAAAGGGGGAACTAAAACACTCCTAAGCCATAACTTGACAGGCTCAAAACCTCGCAGTGAGGCACATAGGTTGGCTTGACAAAACTGGAGTTTCCCCAACGCTTCTAGCTGCGGTCTGGTGCCTGTACACCTACATATATATATATATGAGCAGTGAGCTAAAGCCCAGTGAATAACGTAATGCGTAAAGAGGTTAAGAATGAATGTCCTTACAGTAATGAAAACAGTTCATTAAATCAGTATTTCAGTCGTTCAGTTAGTACAGTCGTATGTGGTACATCCGTTAGCATAACAATACAGTAAACAGTAGGTCTTGAAAGACCGAACAGTAAATGATGGCCATCAATCAGTAACAGTAGTGGTTCCACCAAAGGAACCGACAGAGATCTCTGTAACAGTAACAATAAACAGTAGTTGCTAAGGAAGCCACAATACAGTTCAGAATATAGGACATACATTCATTCAATTAACAGTATCAGTTCAGAAAGCAATACAGTTCAATTGTTCAAAAGATAATCATTTTGAACATATCTTTACACAGTTGTTACTCACAAGGTTCTGGGCTACAGTAAAGCTAGAGCGCGTCCCCCGTCGCCAACCCTACACAGTTTACAGATTGAACACACACTAAGCTACACAGTTGGGAAAATAATAACTTAATCCCTAATTTGCCTCGATGTGGTTCTACATCTATATCCTCATTAAGATGTCTTAAACTAGGCCTAATAATGCCTAGGATGAGATGAGGATGCAAAGATGTACTTTAAAAGCATTTTCAGAATTTTTAGAAAACAGGGGTCACGCTCGAGCGTATGTTACTCCACTCGAGCGAACATGTAGACAAAGGTTTCCGCTCGAGCGTAGAATTACCCGCTCGAGCGTTCTGCAAAACAGTCAAAAGTGCTGGATAGGTGAAATCCACGCCCGATTGGGCGCTCAACACCCGCTCGAGCGTAAGACACAAGGTCCCGCTCGAGCGTAAATTACCCCGCTCGAGCTGACCTAAAAATAGAACAAAATGCTAGGAGCACGATTTCCACGCTCGAGCGCCAGTCACCCCGCTCAAGCGTGAGTTCAAAATCTAGAATTTCCAGATTTGAACTTCAAGCTCAAAATCAAGTTTTAAAACATAAATTTCGATCCTCTTGGGCCAATTTTCCAGGAAACATCCCAAAACTCATAGTTTAACATGATTCCAAAGCTTAATTGTAAAATCAAGGCCCAAGGGTGTTTCAAACAACTAAATTTCAAACCAATTTTCAAGAATATGAAAAACATGCAAACATGCATGAACTTAAACCATTTCAAAGCTCAATTTCATGCTCTAATGAGCCAATTCTTCCAAAGACAAGATGAAATCATGGACTTAAACACAATATGAACATGCATATAACATTTTACCATGAAATCAACTCACAACTCAACAATTCAAACATACATGCATGGAATGAGCTCCAATTCAACATTATTGAACCAATTCTTGACTTAACTCTTTAAACTACCATGATCCATGCTAGAAAGGACTCAAATACACAATAAGGAGGATGAAATTCATACCTAGGTTCCTCAATTACAAGTCTAGAGGCTCAATATGCAAGAATCCTTCAATCTCTACAAGACTCTAAGCCAAATTGTGAAGAACTCAAGCTTTCTCTACCTCTCACTCTCTCAAGTCGGCAAGAACAAGAAAGATGGGCTGATGAAGTGTTGTAATGTTAACATTAGAGATCAACTAAGAGGCTCATGAAAGTCCACTAAGTGGCAAAATGGCAATTAAGTCCAACTCTTTCAATTTAACTCATTTTAATCCAATTTAATCATACCAAATCACATTTTAGATAAATACACCATAAAAACATATAAATTCTAACGAACACAGAACATTAATCAGTTTCAGATATGGCCGCTGATAAGGCCTTCAATTAACAGTTTAAACATAAAAACTGAACAGATAATTAAACAGTCAAACAGATAAACATGCAATTAAACAGATACAGTCAATCGATTCAGTTCCAGATTTCAGTCAGTCAGTTCAGTACTTCAATCAATTCAGTTACCAATCATAATCAGTCTCAGTTTAGCAGTAATCAGTGGTTAATCGGTAAATAGTGACGAGGGTTGTCACACTTAGAGACCCATTTCATGTGATTGATCACCATCGAATTGCCTTCGATAAGAATACAATTTATAAAGAATGGCCTGTACAAATCATTGATCGACAAGTGAAGCAATTGAGGAACAAAACTATTCCTATGGTGAAAGTCGGGTGGAAAGAACATTATGGGAAAGAAGCCACTTGGGAAAAAGATGATGAGATGCAGCAACGATACCCGCATTTGTCTCTGTATGAAGGTAACTTAAGTTTGGAGGACCAAACTTTCTAAGGGAGAAAGACTGTAACAACCTCGACCTCCACAGTATTATATTACAGCATTTAAATAAGCTTAATTGCATGATTGTCTGATTGAAGGTGTAATTACATGCTTAATTTCGTGATTATCTGTCAATACATGGAATGTCTGTATACTTACCGACTTATAATTAGAAATTGAAAGCCCAAACAACTTTAAAAACCAAAATTGACTAGCCCAGTAGGCTAACTAGAATATTTAGAATTTTATGGAAACTTTAATTGAAATTTGATTCGGGTCAAAATAATTAGAATCATTGATTGGAATTAATTAGAAGTAAGTGGGATTAATTAGCCCTAAGCATGCTTAATTAACTTAATCTAATTAAACCTATATATATGTCACATAAGCTTAATTCAGCTCAAAAATGTATATTTAGCTGAGATTTAAGAGAAAATAGAGGGAGAATCAATTCTAGAGAGAGAGGGAGCAGAGAATTGTAAAGGAATTGAAGGAGATTTGAAGAATTGAACTGGAGTACACTTGAATTCAAGCCTTAGGTATGATCTTCAGCCATAATCCTTGCAAATAATTTAAGTAGTAGTTGGGTTCATGGAATTCATAGAGTTAATTACATGTAATTGAGTAGTGAATGCAAGAATTTCTGTGGATTTGTCAAATAAGAGCATAATTGAGACATGCATGCATGAATCATCATTTTGAGTTTGAATTTCATGAAATGTTCCACATGCATGAAGCTATACTTGACATCTTTGAAGGTATTCCATAGTTCTAACACTTCTCATCTCATGCATGGGAGTTTTGAAAAGAAAATAGTGCAATTCATGTCATGTATGGTTTCAACCTCATGATTTAAGCTTGATTTTGGGGATTTGGTTCATGATTTTGAGTAATTGGTTTCAAATTGAGAGTGTTTTCATGTTACACAATGTTTTTTCATGTTTTTGTACCAAACTTGCAAGTTTTGAAACTTTGAATTGCTAGTTTGAGCTTCAAACACAATTCTGGAAATTCTAGAATTCGAGCAGATCGCTTGACCAAAGAAAGTGCCGCTTGAGCATAAAATTCAAGCTCCCAACAGTTTTGCAGACAATTGCATGATGGCTCGAGCGACAAAGTGTGCGCTCGAGCGAACCCACTTTTACTCAGTCCTTGGTCCGAGTGACTGTCGAGCGTAAAAATCAAGCAACTAATACTTTTGTAGAGTTTTGTAGACCGCTCAAGCAACCAAAGTTGCGCTCGAGCGAAGACCCTATTTTTTGTAAATTTTGACTAACTCTTTTAAGTGCATACTTGTATCCTCATATCATTTCAAGTACTCTTAGGCACCAATTGGACTCATATAACCATGGAATGAGTTAGAAACACATAAGAAGAGTTAAATTAAAGTGAAATGGATATTGAATGGTTCTTCAATTGTGTATTTGTTATGTGTTTTGTTTATGTCACGATCCAAAACCGCCCCTTATAGGTTTAGTGCCATGACCGTCCAGTAATCATAGATTACCTATGGCCCCTATAAACAAAAACCTTTTTAAGATAATTATGGGGCATAGCAGAAGTATAATATAACCTAACATTTATCCATTGAGCCATGCATATATGAAAAAAACTCCGTATCATAGGCAAACATTCGTTCTTTTTGTACATTCATCACATAAGTTCAAACATTCATGTCATATATAAACATAACCCCAACTTATACACAAATACAAAACCATTGAACAAGCAAAAATGGGTTTAACTAGCATGGCTCCACCTGAGCCTAGTTTACTTCGCTTGGAAGCTCCTTAAAAGGCTGACCCGGGTAGACTCGAGGCTTTCTTAACTCTGATGCTCAGCTTGCCCACCTACATATATATAAATAAATAGTGAGCTAGGGCCCAGTGAGTAATAACAGAATAAAGAGGTTATGTAAATGAAGTTCAATAAATTGCCAAACCAATTCTCATTTCAGTTCTCAATATTCAATAAATTTCGTCGTCGATGTCATCCAATATCAAATTAAGTGGCACATCCATGAAGCAATAATATTCCAACCACAATGAACCATAAAGGTCTAACACTAGAGAATTTATGTGTTTCAATCAATCCAATAGCCATGGTATTGTTACCCCCAGGCAAGGGAATATGCCATGGTATTGTTACCCCCAGGCAAAGGCCTATGACCATGGCATTGTTACCCCCAGGCAAGGGCCTATGGCCATGGTATTGTTACCCCCAAATAAGGGCCTATGGTCAATGGATGCCACAATATTTTTCCAAAAGTGAACTTCATTCATCAATAGAAAATAACTCTATATCAAACCATTCATTCAATCATTCATATATCGATTTCGGTAACAAATACAATTTCGAAAATAAGCATTGCTTGAACATATCTTTATAAAGTTACTACTCACAGTGAGTTATGTTGTCACTAGGCCTCGAACGTCCACCTATACAAAACACATAACAAATACACAATTGAAGTACCATTCAATATCTATTTCATTTAATTTAATTTTTCTTATGTGTTTCTAAATCATTCTATGTTTATATGAGTTCAATTGGTGCCTAAGAGTGCTAGAAATGACATGAGGATACAAGTATGCACTTAAAAGAGTTAGTCAAAATTTACTGAAAATAGGGTCTCTCGAGCGCAGCTTTGGTCACTCAAGCGATATGCAAAACTCTGTAAAAGTACTGGTTGTATGATTTTTACGCTCGAGTGAGCTTTTCGTCACTCGAGCGATGAGCAATGCAAAATAGGGTTTGCTCGAGTGTAGCTTTGGATGCTCGAGCTACCATGTAATTCTCTACAAAACTTCTGGGAGCTTGATTTTTACGCTCAAGCGACACTTCCTTCGCTCAAGAGGATAGGTCAAATTTTGAAATTTCCAGAATTGTGTTTATCCAAATTCTGGAATTTCCAGAATTGTGTGTGAAGTTCAAACGTGATATTCAAAGGTCCAAAACTCATGTTTTTGGTACAAAAACTTGGAAAACATTTAGAACTTGAAAATATAGTCAATTAGAAACCATTTATTCAAAATCATGCTCCAATTTTCCAAATTCAAGCTTACACTATCAAGTAAAACCATGCACATTATGGATTGAACTCTCTTCTTTTCAAAACACCACAAAGTGGCATGAAATGCATGAAACCATGAGTAATCTTTAAATTCATGCCTCCTAAGCTTCATGCATGTATGAAATTCAAGAAATCTTAACTCAAAAATGAAAGATCAAGCATGCATGTACATAATTCAACTCAAACCCATCATATTCATGGTAATTCATGCTCAACCCACTCAAACTCATGCAAATGATCCTACAACTCCATGAGCTTAGTTCCTACATGACTTAATTCCAAGAATTTAGGATGAATTTCATCCCTAATGTGTGAATTCAAGTGTATTCTAGCTTAATTCTCCAAGTCCTCCACAATTTTCTTCAAATTCTCCTTCCTCTCTCTAGAATTGTTGAGTTCACCGTCATTCTCTCTCTTCAAATCTCAACCCATATGTATATATTATGAGTTCAAGACTTTGTTAGGGTCTTAAATAGGGTGTAATTAACTTAGGCTAATTAAGCTCGCTTATGAATAACTAATCCTACTCAATTTTAATTGATTCCGAATCAAATTTTGACGAAAGTGGCCATAAAATTCTAAATATTCTAATTAGCCTATTGGGCTAGTCAATTTTGGCTTCTAAAGCCGTTCGGGCTTCCAATTTTTGATTCTAAGTCGATAAGTGAACAGATATTCCATGTAATAACAGATAACCACAATATTAAGCATGTAATCACATAATTAAACACACAATCATGCAATTAAGCTGATTGAAACAATATAATATAATAGTACAGAGGTCGGGGTCGTCACAGTTTAGGTGGACGTCCAAGGCCTAGTGTTGTCACAGTTTAGTAGTAACTTTATAAAGATATGTTCAAGTTATATTTATTTTCGAAACTATTATTGTTCTCGAAATTGACATATGATTGATTGAATGGTTTGTTGAAATGTTATGATGATTGATGAAATGGTTTATTGAAACGTTATTTTCTCATAATGAATGAAGTTTTGTTTTGACTTTGTAATCGTAGTATCCTTTAGTGAGGCCATTAAAGCTCATTGAAGAGGCTAACTTGGGGTTGACTCTGAGGCTTTCTCTAACCTAGATGCTCAACCTACTCACCTACATGTAACGACCCCAAAATGCGTATAAGAAATCATCTTGTTTCAACTATAGAATTAATGTGCTTTAAATTAATTATATCTATTTGAATTGAGGAATTATCTGTTGAGTTACGGCCTTAAGATTGAAATTGCCGACCTTTATGGGTCCAGAAATCAAAATCGATTGCATAGATATGTTAATGGGAATTTTTAGAGCTATTTGGGAAAGTTGATTGGAAAATTAATTTGTCTGATTCGTTAAGGTGTGTTTGAGTGATTAAATTTATACTGCAAATTGAAGGCCTTAGAGGTTTCAAAAACTGGAACAGATGACATATTTGTGATCAGCATAATTTTTAGAGTCATCTGGGAAGTTTAATTGAAATTTGATTTTGTGCGATTCGTAAGGGTGCGTTTGGCTAGCCCTAATTGTGATAAGTCTAGGTATGTGGTATATAGATATATATAGATAAGCCATATGAGATACATGAGTAGAACTCAAGATATTTGGACCAAAAATATCTAAGGGAGAGAGAAAGAGAACCGTGAAAGAAAGAGAGAGAGGGAAGAAGAGAAAAAATTCTCTAAGTGAAGCTCAACATTCATGGTGGCTTTGAAGATGATTGAAGGGAATTAAAGAGAGAGGAAGAAGATCATCTATGGAAGCTTGGAAAATTGAAGAGATTAAAGGGAAAAACAAGGATTTGAGTTAAGGTATGTGGCTTCAACTATTATCTTTGTAAATAATTCATCTACTACATGAAATCAAGGATTGACTTAAAATTAATATGTAAATGAACAAGTGTGTTGGGTTATAAATGAAATGAGTTAAACTCAAGGAATTGAACCTTGATTTCCTTAAGTTTGCTTGAATTGGGTTCAATCTTAAGAATGATTCATGGAATAACAAGTTTTGGTGTGAAGATCAACCATGTGTAAGATGTATTTGTATGATTGTGGGGTATATATTATAGAAGTTTGATTATATAGAGACATGAAACTTGAATTTCTATTTTAAGGCAAGGATTGATTTGTTTAAAATGGAATTACACGTGATTGATGTTAGTTTATCATGTTGTGAGACAATTTTACATGTTTTTGGGTGATTTGAGTTGGAAACCAAGCCTAGAAATGGAAAGAACAAGAGATAGAGAAAGCAACATTTTCGGACAGCAAAACTGACCCAGAGCCGCACGTGCGGCAATCCATTTTTAGATTCTGCTAAAAAGGCATGTGGTCCCGCACGTGCGGCCCTGTTTCCCGCACATGCGGGACAGCCTATTTCAATCAACTTCAAATAAGTGTATCTCTTACATCCGGACTCCGTTTTGAGTGATTCTTGAGCCTAAATTCAAGCCCTGAAAGTCTAGTTTCCAATGGTGGTGTTCTCACTCTCAAATTTTAAGTACACAAATAGATATTTCCAAATTAGTGAAGATTGTTCACTTTCTGTCTACCGGTTCAATACCATTTCTTCTTCTAAACTGCTTTCCTTTCGATTCTTCCTATTTTCTGAGACATGAATTATGACCTATTCAAGCCTAATGAGTTTAAAACCACCATGGCTTATTGATTAAAGAAAACAAGAGAGAGATTGATTATATACTCATATTATGCTATGTGTATTGTGTTTGCAGGCCAAGACGGGGACATCGTCCCATCGCTACCGGAAGCTCATCACTGTGAGTAATAGTACTGTAATGACATACTTTGTTTATTGTTAATAGCTTTTATTAATGTTCTGTTCTCTGTAAGTTAATTATATCGTTTCATGTTAAACAAGTGGAAATTCATATTCGTTATTAAACGATGAGATCCTTAAGAACTCGAGATTATTCTGCTTTGTTAACAATGGGCCTGAGGCCATTCAGTTATCAGCCACTGAATGTGGACAACTCTGGAAATGAGGGAGGTGATGACATGTCGGTGTCTCACCGACCTTAATCTAATTTGAATCAATTATGATTCATGGCCAGAGGCCAACGGAAGTAGTGTGCATGTCGATGTCCTACTTACCCTCCAATGTGTGGACAGTTGTCAAGATGTGGGCCTGAGGCCGTTCTGTATAATATGTTGGGCCTGAGGCCGTTTCATACATATATGGGCTCGAGGCCATTCTGTATTACATGTGGGCCTGAGGCTGTTCTAAAATATGATTATGATTAAGATCTGTTTATGGTTTGAAATGCATATTTACATTCTCTAAGACTATGCTCGCTTTACTAACCTTCTTACATTACTATTATTCACTGAGCCTTGCTCACTCCGTTTTTATGTATATTTATGTAGGTGAGCCATTAGGGATTGACACTAGAATTGTATTGAGATCTACCTGTCTGCCAAGTCGCCTAGGGTACGCCTCCGTATTGAGGCCTTAATTTTTATTACTAGGAATTATGTAATGTATGGAGTCTTAAATAAGTGTGTGTGTGAGATCTATACAAGTTCTGTGATTGTATATGTAAATATGAAAGTGTATTTAAATGCTTAAATTTATTAAGTCACCATGTATGCACAAGCTCAATGGGCATTGTCTTTATATTGGTTTTGCTTCCGCTTAAGGCCCCGTATGTGAATAAATATTTGTAAATTTTGTTTTGAGGCCTATGTACAGGCCAGTCATGGACCAAACTTTTAGGGACGGGTTTGGGTCGTGACACTACATATACATAAATAGTAAGCTAGGGC